GGTGCCTGGTCTGCCGTGTTCCTCGTCTTGGTCTGCCGTGCTCCTCTCGGTTCCTACGCGCGGTCTGCCGTGCTCCTGTGGGGAGCACGGCAGACCACAGGAGCAAGGCAGACCACACAGGAGCACGGCAGACCACACCTCGATTTTTGGAGGATGTCTCGAGCGAAATGGCCGTGGTCTGCCGTGCTCCACACGGGAGCACGGCAGACCACCTGCTCATTTTCTGAGGACGTCCCGAGCAAAAACGTCATTTTTGACATAAGAGGTTCTAAAACACCTCTGTCGGCATCTCATTTGTTCGAGGATGTCTCGAGCGAAACGCTCATTTTTCATGCATAACAAAAATTTTTGATATTTTTCAACATCCCGAATTTTTGAGGATGTCTCGAGCGAAACCGTCATTTTTAAAAAAAGACACTTCTTAAACGATAGCCTCCAACACCTCGATTTTTCGAGGATGTCTCGAGCGAAATGGCCATTTTGGGGAACCTGACCGGACAAGAACGGGAAGCGTCCTTTTGTCCCCTGGGTTTATGAGATATTCCACGTTTTTAGTACGGCATACCACAGCAGTGCCACGTACCACTGCCGTGCTTCTTTGGGGTCTGCCGTGCTCCTGTGGTGTTTGCCGTGCGAACGTGTGGTCTGCCGTGCTCCTGTGTGGTCTGGCGTGCTCCTGTATGGTCTGCCGTGCTCTTGTGTGGTTTGCCGTGCTCCTGTGTGGTCTGCCGTGCTCCCGTGGGGTCTGCCGTGTCCTGTGTTGTCTGCCGTGCTCCTGTGTGGTCTGCCGTGCTCCTGTGTGGTCTGCCGTGCTCCTTCTTGGTCTGCCGTGCTCATGTGGGGTCTGCCGTGCTCCTGTGCGGGCTGCCGTGCGAACGTGTGGACTGCCGTGCTCATTTGGGGTCTGCCTTGCTCCTGTGTGGTTTGCCGCGCTCCTGTGTGGTGCCGGCTCCTGTGTGGTCAGCCGTGCTCTCTTCCGATCTTACGGTGCTCTTTTGGGGTCTGCCGTACTAATTTGGGGTCTGCCGTTGCCTCCTGTGTCGGCCGTGTCATTGGGTGAGTCAGCCGCGAGCCGGTGAGATCTGCGTGCTCCTGTTTTCAAACGCCCGCGGCGTTCGGGGTACAACAGAAAGGCGCGTTTATGTTGTACCGCGCGCCGAGTCTGCCGTTCTCCTGGGGTTCGCCCGTTGTCTCCTGTGTCGGTTGGCCGTGTTTCCTGTGGCGTCTTGCCGGGCTTTCCTGTGTGTCTTGCCGTGCTCCTGGTGGTCTTGGCCGTGCTCCTGTGAGTCTGCCGTGCTCCTGTGTGGTCTGCCGTGCTCTTGTGGTCTGCCGTGCTCATTTGGGATTTGCCGTGCTCATGTGGGGTCTGCAGTACTCCTGTGTGGTCTGCCGTGCTCCGGTGGTCTGCCGTGCTCCTTTGGGGTCTGCCTTGCTACTGTGGGGTCTGCCGTGCTCCTGTGTGGTCTGCCGTGCTCCTGTGGGGTCCTCGGTCCTGTAACAGAATGCGCACTCGGGGGAATCCCAATGTGTTATACACAATCCCGCCGCCCGCTGCTCTGGTGTGGTGCACTCAGGACACCACAGAGCGAGGTTGTCGCACATCTCGCACTGCGGGGTCGCCAGCGACGCCGGCGGCACAGCGTGGCAGACGGCGCACGAGCGCGCAGCGAAACAGGCCCTGCAAGCTCGCCGATATATCAGATTAGTTCGCGCTCGCACCCGACCGCAGTGCACGCAGCACCGACCGTCCTGGGCCCAGCACGACTGGCACTTCGCTGTCGACTGCCCGTCAGACATGCCAGAACACGCACTACAGAACACCACAGACACGTCGCAAGATTCGTTGCTACACTTCGACCGAGTCAAAAAGCCAGCAGGAGTCGGCGCAGCGCAGTGCGAACAAGGGATCCGAGATTTGAAGCACTCGATGCACAGCTTGAGATTGCGTTCCTCAGGCGAAGTGTGCGTCGGACACGCCATAGCACATCTTTCTCCCGCGGCCTGGGGGTTCTTCTCGCGTGACTCGCAGGCCACGCGCAACGTTGGTTCGTCTTCCTCGTTGCACCAGGTACACTCAGGGCAGCTGCGAGACCGATAACACGGCTTACACATGCCACCGCTGAGCTCGCGCTGCGCACCGCAGAATCGACAACATCCCTTTCTCTTCTCCTGCTTCTGGCGGTACAGAGTAGGATGCTTCTCCTTGTAGCAAGACTTGCAGTAACCGTCATAACCGGACTGAGCCTTGGGGGGCTCCTCACCACGGCGGGTCTTGTGATACCCTTTGCAATACTTGATCGTTTTAGCAGCACGCGCTGGACAAACAAGAGACCCACAGAACATCATATAGAACGCCAGTCGGAGCATGCCGAAAATAAACATCGGTAAGAATCGCCCCGAGGATGACCTACTAGAAAGTTGGATCTCACAGGGCTAATAGAAGCACCTCCACCGCGCACACCCTGCCGCAGCTTTGCAACCACATTGAGCCCAATACAACATGTGCCAACAACATAGAGCACGTGAGAGAGCGACCGTAATCGTCGAAGGCTATGAAGAGCACCCACGGCATTGCGCACTCGAAAAAAACACGCATTGCAAAGCCAAACGGCCTGACCTCACGTGGGGGCTGAAACAGACAACGGGCCTCGCCGAAGTCCCTGCCCCCGCTCCTAGAACTCATGCCAGGCGAGGCGGCCCCCAGACTCTAACCGTACTCCTGTGTGGTCTGCCGTGCTCCGGTGGTCTGCCGTGCTCCTCTGGGGTCTGCCTTGCTACTGTGGGGTCTGCCGTGCTCCTGTGTGGTCTGCCGTGCTCCTGTGGTTTGCCTTGCTCCTGTGTGGTCTGCCGTGCTCCTTTAGGGTCTGCTCTGCCGTGCTCCTGTGGGGTCTGCCGTGTTCCTGTGGGGTCTGCCGTGCTCTTGTGGGGTCTGCCGTGCTCTTGTGTGGTCTGCCGTGCTCCTTTGTGGTCTGCCGTGCTCCTGTGTGGTCTGCCGTGCTCCTGTGTGGCCTGCCGTGCTCTTGTGTGGTCTGCCGTGCTCCTGTTGGTCTGCCGTGCTCTTCTATGGTCTGCCGTGCTCCTATGGGGTCAGCCGTGCTCCTGTGGGGTCTGCCGTGCTCATGTGTGGTCTGCCGTGCTCCTGCGCGGTCTGCCGTGCTCCTGTGGCGTCTGCCGTGCTCCTGTGTGGTCTGCCGTGCTCCTGTGGTCTGCCGTGCTCATTTGGGGTTTCCCGCCAGCTTGTGTGGTCTGCCGTGCTCCTGTGGGGCAAACGCCAGCGGCGTTCGTGGTACAACAAAAGGCGCGTTTATGTCGTACCTGCGCGCGGTCTGCCGTACTCCTGTGGGGATTGCCGTGCTCCTGTGTGGTCTGCCGTGCTCCTGTGTGGTTTGCCGTGCTTCTGTGGTCTGCCGTGCTCCTTTGTGGTTTGCCGTACTCCTGTGGGGTCTGCCGTGCTCCTGTGGGGTCTTCCGTGCTCCTGTGAGGTCTGCGGTGCTCTTGTGTGGTCTGCAGTGCTTCTGTGTCTGCCGTGCTCATTTGGGATCTGCCGTGCTCGTGTGGTGTCTGCCCTGCTTGTGCGGGATCTGCTGTGCTCCTTGTGTCGTCTCTTTGGTCTGCCGTGCTCGTGTGGGGTCTGCCGTGCTCCTGTGTGGTCTGCCGTGCTCCTGTGGGGGCAAACCAGCAACACGTGAAGAATTGCCCCTGACGGGGCAAACCAGCAACACGTCAAAGGTTATCCTGAGGGGGGCAAACGAGCAACACGCCAAGAAGGTGCTGAGGTGGTCGACCACCAACACTTCAAGAAGTTACCCTGAGGCGAAACCAGCCACTCGCCAAGAAGTCATCCTGAGGGGGCAAACCAGCAACACGTCAAGAAGGTGCTGAGGGGACAAACCAGCAACACGTCAAGAAGGTATCCTGGGGGGGGCAAACCAGCAACACGTCAATGCGGTATCCCGGGGGGACCAAACCAGCAACACCACTGCCGTGCTCCTGTGTGGACTGCCGTGCTCCTGTGGGGTTTGCCGTGATCCTGTGTGGTCTGCCGTGCTCCTGTGCGGTCTGCCGTGCTCCTGCGGGGTTTGCTTTGCTCCTGTCGGCTCTGCCGTGCTCGTTTTGGGTCTGCCGTGTTCCTGTTGGGTCTGCCGTGCGCTTGTGTGGTCTGCCGGCTCCTGTGGGGTCTGCCGTTGTTCCTTTGGGGTCTCTGCTCGTATTCGTTGTTGGTCTGCGTGCTCTCGTGTGGTCTGCCGTGCTCCCTTTGTGGTCTGCCGTGCTCCTGTGTGGCTGCGGTGCTCCTGTGTGATCTGCCGTGCTCCTGTGTGGTCTGCCGTGCTCTTGTGGTCTGCCGTGTTCCTTTGGGGTCTGCCGTTATTAGTGTGGGGTCTGCCGGGCTCCTGTGTGGTCTGCCGTGTTCCCTTTGTGGTCTGCCGTGCTCCTGTGGAGTCTGCCGTGCTCCCTTTGTGGTCTGCCGTGCTCCTGTGGAGTCTGCCGTGCTCCTGTGTGGTCTGCCGTGCTCCTTTTTTTCCTCAAATCGTGCTCCTGCTCATTTTCTGAGGACGTCCCGAGCGAAAACGTTTATTAACATAAGAGGTTGTAAAACACCTCTGTCGGCATTTCATTTTTTCGAGGATGTCTCGAGCGAAACGCTCATTTTTCGTCATAACAAAAATTTTTGATATTTGGCAACATCCCGATTTTTTGAGGATGTCTCGAGCGAAACCGTCATTTTTAACATAAAGCGTTGGAAACGATAGCCTCCAACATCTCGATTTTTCGAGGATGTCTCGAGCGAAACGGCCATTTTGGGGAATCCGCCAACGAAAAACCCCGTGCGGCCCCGCAACCCATAGCTATAAAGATATATATATATATTATATATATATAATATATATTATATATATATATATATATATTTACTCAAGGATTCAGCCAGAACGTCCCGCTTGCTTCTCGTACCTCGAAGACGCTTCGAGGATGTCTCGAGCGAAATTGCCATTTTAGGGAACCTGACCGGACAAGAACGGGAAGCGTCCTTTTGTCCCCTGGGCTTATGAGATATTCCACGTTTTTAGTACGGCATACCACAGCAGTGCCACGTACCACTGCCGTGCTCCTTTGGGGTCTGCCGTGCTCCTGTGGAGTTTGCCGTGCGAACGTGTGGTCTGCCGTGCTCCTGTGTGGTCTGGCGTGCTCCTGTATGGTCTGCCGTGCTCTTGTGTGGTTTGCCGTGCTCCTGTGTGGTCTGCCGTGCTCCCGTGGGGTCTGCCGTGTCCTGTGTGGTCTGCCGTGCTCCTGTGTGGTCTGCCGTGCTCTTGTGTGGTCTGCCGTGCTCCTTCTTGGTCTGCCGTGCTCATGTGGGGTCTGCCGTGCTCCTGTGCGGTCTGCCGTGCGAACGTGTGGACTGCCGTGCTCATTTGGTGTTTGCCTTGCTCCTTTGTGGTTTGCCGCGCTCCTGTGTGGTCTGCCGTGCTCCTGTGTGGTCAGCCGTGCTCCTGAGGCGTCTACGGTGCTCTTTTGGGGTCTGCCGTACTCATTTGGGGTCTGCCGTGCTCCTGTGGTCGGCCGTGCTCATTTGGGGTCTGCCGCGCGCCTGTGAGATCTGCCGTGCTCCTGTTGGGGAAACGCCAGCGGCGTTCGGGGTACAACAAAAAGGCGCGTTTATGTTGTACCCGCGCGCGGTCTGCCGTGCTCCTGTGGGTTCCGCCGTGCTCCTGTGGCGTCTGCCGTGCTCCTGTGGCGTCTGCCGGGCTCCTGTGTGGTCTGCCGTGCTCCTTTGTGGTCTGCCGTGCTCCTGTGGAGTCTGCCGTGCTCCTGTGTGGTCTGCCGTGCTCTTGTGGTCTGCCGTGCTCATGTGGGATTTGCCGTGCTCATGTGGGGTCTGCCGTACTCCTGTGTGTCGCGTCGTGTCGTGCGGGGCCTATGAAGGCTAAAAGAAGCCCGAGGCCCACGGAGCGCATTGGCCCCAGGGCCTCAAGGGCCAGCCCTGGGGGCCCGAGAGGGGCCCCCGCAGGGAGGGGGCGCGGAGCGCCAGACGCGCGACGCGCATGATTTCAAAGAAATCAAGAGAGCAGCAGAGGCAGCGGCGCGCACGCACGCCCAACATGCCCCCCACGCTGCGAGTGCGACAAGGGCAGAAGAGCTGCCTCACGCACCGAAAGGCAAGGGTGACGGGGGGCGGACACAACAGAAGGGAGGAAGATGCTGCCTCACGCCCCTCCGTCACCGCCGGCGCGGCGGCGCCTCTTGCGCCAGCCCACGCGAGCCGACACAGCCGCGGCTGACCGCACCTGGGGGCTCGCCTCCCAAGGCCGAAGGCGCAAGCCAGTCCTCGCCCCGTGGCCCCCGCGGGCCAGGCGCCCGCGGCTCCGCCGCCGCCTCAGCAGCCGCCGCCGCGCCGCTGGGGGGCCCACAGCCGTCGCCAGCGGCCTGCCGCGAGGGGGAGCACGGGGCGGGCCCCCAGCGGCTGAAGGAAGCGCACCGCGCCACCCGCACCGCTCCCTCCTTGCGAAGGCAGGGTGCAGTCGAGCCGACCCCCTTGCTGCCGCTGTGGGGCGTGCCAGGGGAGGCCGACATCAACCACTTCTTCGTCGCCTCCTGCGTCCCGCATTCCACGGCAATGGGCCAATGGGCGCTCTGAGCGGGCCAATGGGCGGGGGCTGCCCTTCCCGCTGCAGCTCGGCCATCCACGTCCGCAGGCAGACGTATTCGTAGCGCCGTATGCAGTCCGACACGATCATCTGCGACCGCGTCAGCGTGTGGCGCCACCTGTAGTAGGCCCTCCTCGCAGGCATGCCAGTCCCCCAGGCCCGCTCGCAGATCTCCTCGGCAACCTCCTCGGCCGTCCTCCCACGCGCCCGCAGCCTGGAGGCGAAGCGCGGCAGGGACAGGATCTGCGTGACGTAGCCGACGCAGTGGTCCATCCACTCGCTGTAGCATTCCATCGTTTCGCCAACATCGGGGGTCTGGGTCCAGAAGCGCGCCCATACAGCGAGCTGCCGCTCAAGACTGGGCGCGACGCTGCGCCTCGGCTGCGCTGGCTCAGGCCGAGCCGCCACAGCGCCAGGCCATAGCTCCTTGAGCTTGGGCGCCGCACCTCTGCTCACGCCAAGCCTCGCATACGCCCCGCAGTGGGTGCCCGCCATCAGCTCCTGCTTGGCCGCGCCGACTCCGCACCTGTCGTAGGCAATCCACTGCCAGATGAAGGAGACTTGCGCCTCCCCGCCTGGCTCAATCACCACTTCCACCATGCGTAAGAGCCCGCGCCTGGCCACCGCACTGGCTCGGTGCCGCTCCGCACCTGCCATGGCCCAGCTGACGGCGAGACCGTTGCCGCTGAGGTGGGCCTCCGTGACCTTGCTGTCCAGCACGCCACTGGCGGTACAGTGTGCTGCAGCCGTGGTCGCCTTGAGCGTGTCCACGTCCAGCGAGGCGTAGATCCCCTCCCAGAGAAGGGCATTGGGCCTGTTGGCTGCCGTTGCGTGCCTCTTGCCCCACGTGAGGCAGCTGACCGTAGACGCACAGCCAATGAGGATCTCCACCACACGCGGGCCCAGGAAGCGAGCAGACATCCTGGAGGCGACGCAGGACAGGGCGAAGAGGGTGCGCACCGAAGCCCCCGCGCAAGGTGTCGCAGGAGGCAGCGCAGGCTGCCAACGCCGAAGAGGCCTCGAACCAATCGGAGAGGTGGTCGCCGCCCTCGGCCTGGCACGTCGCCTCCGAGGGCGCCAGGAAGTGTCCCCGCCCCGCCACTGCCAACCCAACTCCTCGAGGGGCTGAGGCTCCATGTTGAGGACGGCTTGGAGGACCCACAGGATGTCGACAGGGAGGCCCGTCACCTCCGAGAAGGCCGAAAACAGGACCAGGTCGGTGACTCGCGGGCCCGCATGGCGCTGGACATACTCAGAGACCGCCAGGGACTGCGGGCCCGAGGCGGAGGCAATCTCCACACAGCGAGGGCTGTGCCGCAAGGCGGAGGGCAGCGAGAACCCCGACTCGTCGGCCTGCACGCCGTCTCGCACCAGGACCGCCGCCCCTCCTGAGGTCGCCTGGGGCCCCTGCGTGCCCGACAGCGCTGCCACGGGGAGGACTGCCACGAAGCCCAGGCCGCTGGCCTGAGCCGCAGCACTGGGCAGGCGCACATGCGCTAGCCTCGTCTCCTGCCGCACCACCACGTCGAGCCAGTAGTAGCACGTCTTGGAGAAGGCCTCTATAACCTCAATGCTCCTGTTACAAGTGTTGCCATTGCAGCCGAGGAGGACAAGGCCAGCTCGTAGCTGCTGGCCTCCCCCCCTGACCACCATCGGCGCCTTGCCCGTGACGGCTGCCACGCGGACTGCACTCTGCCCAGCGCACGACACAGAGGACGCCGTGCCCCTGGTCGCGGGAACCTCCGCCCCCACCAGGACTGGAGGGGGGACCTGGCCCCACGCTCCAGCGCTCCTCAACGGCGAGGGCGGGCCGCTGGCCTGCGCGGGAGGTGGCCACCGCTGAGGCGGAGGCCGTCCCTCGACCCCTCCGGTTGCCGGCGGGGGGTGTCCCTGCCCATCACCATCGGGGCCGAGAGCTGCGACGTCGTGGGGCTGAATCCCACCGCTCACGGCCCCTGACTGGCCGTCGGGGGGCCACCTCGGTGTTCCCGACTGCGCCAGTTGGCTACTTCGGGCAGGGGTGCACGGCGCCGCCTGCCGCTTGCGATGGCCGCGGGCGCGCCAGCAGCCACCACAGCGCCTCCTCCACCTGTCCCAGCAGCTGGGCCCTCGCACGTCCTGAAGGAAGGGCGCACCGCTGTCCCAGACGCCGATGTTGGCGGTGGCGGTGGAAGCTGCCCACTCCAACGCTCTCGCATCACCCACGGCGCGGCCCGTATCCAGCAGCAGGAGCAGCCACAGCACCCGCAGCCACCAGTGGGTCGCTGCCCGCGAGGGCCGCCCCTTGCTCGGCGAGGGCCTGAGCGAGGCACGGCTCCACCTGAGGCCACGTGCCCAGGGTCGCCCCGTGCTGGCCGCGGGCCGCAGCAGGGCCGTGAGGCCCGTCCACTGACCTGGCCCGCGGGCCTGGCAGCCCAGCCGCGGTGGGCCCTGCCTGCGGGGCTGCAGAGGGCGGGGCGGCCGACGGCCCCCCAGAGGCCACGAAGTCAAGCGGCATGTCGTCATCATCGGTCGCGAGGCCATCGTCCCCGACGCTGTCGCCCCAACGCGTCGTGGCCGAGCTGCTGCGGGGCCTGAGCACTTCGGCGACCGCCTCCTTCTGCGTGTTGAGAATCCCGACGATCTCGGAGAACCTCGGGGGCAGCTCCGACCCGTGCTGCTTGAGGAGAACCGACAGGGCGCCGACCTGAGTGAGCAGCCCTTGAACTGCGTCCCCAAGCGGGCTTGGAACACCTCCGACGGCCGCGTTGGCCCGCTGGATCGCCTGCTGCGTGACCTTGGCTCGGGTAGCCTCCAGCTCGGCAATCTGCCCCGCGACCTCATCCACTCCCAGCTCGGCTGCCGAGAGCTGCTCCTGCTTCTCCGCGATGAGTTCTCGCAACTCGGACGCCTGCAGCTGGAGCTTCTCCTTCTTGGTGCGCACCGCAGCCAGCTGGCGCTCGACCTTCTTGATGGCGTTGGCCTCGATGTGGAGCACCGAGTGAGGTGGGCGCACCGCCCGCTGGGCATCCTGGACGGCCAGCTCCAGGGCTGCGACCTGGTCCTTGCCCAGCAGGAGGGCGCTCTCGGCCTCGTCTGCCGTGCTCCGGTGGTCTGCCGTGCTCCTTTGGGGTCTGCCTTGCTACTGTGGGGTCTGCCGTGCTCCTGTGTGGTCTGCCGTGCTCCTGTGGTTTGCCTTGCTCCTGTGTGGTCTGCCGTGCTCCTTTAGGGTCTGCTCTGCCGTGCTCCTGTGGGGTCTGCCGTGCTCCTGTGGGTCTGCCGTGCTCTTGTGTGGTCTGCCGTGCTCCTTTGTGGTCTGCCGTGCTCCTGTGTGGTCTGCCGTGCTCCTGTGTGGCCTGCCGTGCTCTTGTGTGGTCTGCCGTGCTCCTGTTGGTCTGCCGTGCTC